GGAGGGGGGGGGGGGGGGGAGAGAGAGAGAGAGAGAAAGAGAGAGAGAGAGAGAAAGAGAGAGAAAGAGGGCCAAGACAGACTGCAAAGCAATTGAGTATGGTAAAATCGGATCGACATACCTGGGCTAGCCAGTTGATTCGGGCGGCAAGCTGACAATTGGACCCGAGTTGGCGCACATGGTCTCGCAGATTGCCCAGCGGGGCAAGCTCGAGGATGAGCGTCAAGTGACCATCAAGGAGAGTGACACCTCGGAGCGATATGACGTGGGGATGCTTCAAGTCGGCCATTAGCACTACCTCCTCAAACAAGCTCGCAGAAGAGCCCTGGATGGGGTAAGCAGAGCCGAATGGGCAATGGGACATATAATATGAGTTTGATGCAAAGGTGTACACAACTCTTGGAAAAAGGCTCATCATGCAACTGACTTCTGTCGCCATGGAGGTTTTGAGGGCTACATATTCTTGAAAGTCATCCCGCGACCAACGCGCCTACGTCCAGGTATGATCCACCACCCGGTTAAAGAAAGCTGAATGTGGTCAGAAGTCCAAGTCAGAAGCGTGACCTGATATCATGGGGCAAAGCGCACCTGAAGGACGTCGCCAAAATGACCATGTCCAATTTTTTGCAACATATCCAGCTCTGATCTGAAAAATCATGTTAAACAGCCGTAGACATGACGTGAGCACAGGGGTGGCGCAAATACTGGTCTCCGTCAGCTGCTCGACTTGGCAAGAGCAAGAGCGCTAAAATGACGTACGAGGAAACAACGTCGATGGTACTCGAAGACTTGAGCGAGTGTTGAACGTCATCCAATTGACGTTGCAGCCACGCAGAGCGGCTCGCGTGCTGGCTCTGTTTCATGTGTCGCTGACGCCAGATGTAGCCAAGCGCAAGGAAGACCACCACAAAGGCCACGCTGACCACTGTCGCGATGATGGCCGGGTTTGTGGTGTGCGCCTTGCCAGCTGTAGCGGCGGGACTTGAGCTAGGGTTCCGCCCCAAAGTCGAGGGCTCAACAGTCGTGCTGGTGAGCCAAGCAGGGTAGCCATCTACGACGGTAAAGTTCACTTCCAAGGGAAGGGTTTCCTGCCCGATGACTTTCACGCGCAAATTGCCTTTCTTGGCGTTGTAGAATATCATGTGAAACATGCGACTGCCTGCTTCCATGGAAGGATCCACGTCGCTGATGATGCCCGAGGCGTTGACTCTGAGCAACAATTGCAAGTGCTCATATGCACGTCCATAAACGCAGCGAAAATTATTGGTGGGCTCGTTGACATCAGGAACAAGAACGACAATGCCTCGCCAAACCGTGAATTGAAAGGCTGATCCGAAACAGCTATGTACAAAGTACGTTGAGGCTTCGGTTGGAGCTGAATCATGAACATAAATGTCGCAAAGGGCCTCATCGAAGCCATTGGCACAGTCAGTAACGCCGTCGCAAAAGGCTTCCGGGGGGATACTGAGAGCCGAGCCGAGGTTCGGAAAGGGGTTGGCTTCGGGGGAGAAGTCAGAGCAGGAGACGTTGGTGCGGGCTGCCTCAAGGGAGCAGGCGTCGTTGCAGGTGATCCGGCCACAGTCGTCTGGCGTAGGGTCTAATTGGCAAAAACATCCCAGCTTGGTTGCGGTAAAGGTAAAGACATAGGTTCGGTTGCAGGAGCGGGAAAAGAGGGCATTGAAGGGTAGAGCTCTCAGCTCTCCGAGTTCAGGGTTGCCGTCCATTAAAAGGGTGTGGAAGGAGGGACGCGCAGCCGGGAACATTTTGGGCTGGAGTGTATCAAACTTGTTTTGACTGACGTCGAGCACCTCAAGATCCAAGGGGGTGCGAAATGTGAGGCTTTCAATGTGTTCTACGCCCGTGTGCGAGAGGTTAGCGGAGCGCAGCCGGCGGGCGGTGAAGGTGGACATGGAGTAGAACGCTGATATAGCTTGACAGGCCACGTCCAAATGCTCGAGGTTGCCAGACAGAAAGTAGGGCACCTGGTCAATCTTTGTCAATGCGAGGGGTTGCTGACAGGCATTGCAGTTCAGGGTTGGGCCTGCTGCATGATGCGGGGCGAAGGTACAGGTGGTGGCGTGATACTCGGGGCAAATGTCATCGCTCCCCAAGTCATCGGGCCAAATCCAGGCCCCGTCATCGCATACAAACTTTTTGCTATAAATGGTGAATCGTGAGCACTCAAAGGTGCAGAGTTGACCGTGCGGGTAGTTATCTTCGCTGCCCGCACAGTCGCTCACGGCCGAGCTCTCAAAAAACACACGACCGCTGCACGCGCGGCAGTTGGTTGTGCAGTTGGCATTGTATGCACCGCCCACGTCTCGAATCAGCAGGACGAGCAGTGCGGTCACGCCCAGCGCAGTCTTCCACCACTTTGAGCCGAGAGCCATCATGACTGGCTCGTGCCCAGTCGATTGGTCTTGAGCTGCAAGGGCCAAGGGCTGGGGTCAAACTCAGAGCTCGTCTTGACGACCTGCACCAAGGCAACCCATTGTGCCAGAGCGCGCGCGAGCGAGCGAGAGAGGGAGAGAGAGAGAGAGAGAGCGTAACGCACAAACACAGAGAGAGAGAGAGAGAGAGAGAGAGAGAGAGAGAGAGAGAGAGAGAGAGAGAGAGAGAGAGAGAGAGAGAGAGAGAGAGAGAGAGGACGCACAGAGACACAGCGACACAGCCACAGCCACGAGGTGCCGGCGGTCTGGCCGGCGCTGCCGCTCCTGTGTGTTTTTCGTGTTTACCGTTGTCTACCCTTG